TTATAATTATATATTATTATTAAAATAATATAAATTTTTAAATACAAAAATATATTAAATAATAAAAAAATAAATAAATTAATTAAAAAAAAATTAAAATTTTTAAAATATATAAATAATTATATTATAATTATTTATATTAAAAAATAAATAAAAAAAAATAAAAATTAATATTAAAATTTTATTAAAATAATAATTTTTTATTATATTATAAATATTAATAATTTAATATTTTTATAATATTATTTAAGTTTTATTTATTATATTTCATTTTTAATAATTTTTAATTAAAAAATTTAAATATAATAATTTTATAAAATATTATAAAAAGTTTAATTATAATATAAAATTTATATATAAATATAATAAATTTAAAATTTAAAAATATTTAAAAAAAAAAACTTTTTATTTAAAATTATATATTTTATATATTTTTTAAATTATAAAAGTTATAAAAAGTTTTAAAAAATTAATAAAAAAATAAACTTATATAATTTTTTTTTATAAATTAAATTAATTTTTTTTTTTTTATTTTTTTATTAAATTAAAATATAATAAATATAAAATTTAAATAATTATAGTTTTTTACTATTTTAGTATTTAAATAAAAACTTATAGAATTAATTTACTTAGTGGACGTTAATAATAAAATAAAATAAATAAATAAATAAATAAACAAATATAACGTTACTATAACTAACTAAAAACCTAAGTATCTATGTTTAAATATTACGATTTGGAATCATAAGGTTAAATAAAATCTTTTTAACAAAAATAAATTATATGCTGATATAGCTGAGACAGTCTCGGAGTTTTAAAAGGGATCAGCTTTTGCGAAGACAGGCCAGTAAAGTCTTCAGGGGTAACGATAGAAATAAGTAAAAAGTAGTTGCAACATTGGTTTGTACAAAAACAGCTTCCTCCTTCTCCACACTGTTCAAAATTTCAGCGCAGACTGATACGTTATCTATAAGAAATATCTACATATCAGTTTTCAGCTTTGCAAATCGTAAATTTAAAAAGTTATTTACAATACTAAGCTTAAGGAAAATACTACCTACCTAAGTCTACTGTAAGAGACATGCTACAAACCCCTACTCTCGCTTTTCTAAAGAAATTGCAGTAGGTAAATACAGCCATTTTTAGTTGCACAATCAGCAAATACGTATTGAGAAATACTTAAAAGTATTCTTTCCTGCTAAATTTTGAAAAGAGTGTATAAAAAGAGGAAGCTCTTTCTGCGTAAAACAATAGTTCTTTGCCCACAAGCATTAGACTTTGGCCGGTTGAATATCGGTAATCTTATTCAATCAAACATTAGTCGGTTAATTATATTGCCGAAGTAGCTGCTGCATCTATCGTCAGACTAACGAGAGATATATTCAAAACTAACGTAATAAAGAAGCAGATGTAATAAGCAAGCTGATAGGATAAGTAAGTGGATGTGATAAGCAAATGCGCGCAAGAATATATTGGCCCTGTTATCCAGGTATATCCTCTTAATTATACCTTGAATCTGAAAATAAAAGCTTTATGCTTTAACTAATTTCTTTTATATTTATGTAAAATTTATCCTATTATATTAACCAAGTTAAAAAGCTACTTATTATTATATAGTATAGTTTTTATTAAAAATATTTTTTATGTAGTATTTAAACATTATTATTTAGGCCTTTTAATATATTACTTTTAAGTTTAGTCTTAAACTTTACTAAGTAGTTATAATTTCTATCCTTTTGCCAGTAGTACAGCCTAAATCTTTAGAGTTTAGTTTAATTAGCTAGTGCCAATTATATTAAGCTATAGATTAATTATGGAATTTAAACTAAAGGCCAGGGTATATCCTTTTATTAAACCAGGTGTTACAGTATTAAACTTTTTATTTTAATATTAAATTTAATCTTTATATTCAACATAGTTTAGCTAAACTAACACAGGATTCCAAAGAATAGTTGACTCTTCATCGGTCCGCTCTGTACCACAAGAGTAGCACTTCTTCCAATCAGGACGAAGCACAAACCATGAAGAGCAATTTGAACACGGGCGTGCAAAAGTGTCTTTAGTTTCTTTCTCTTCTAAGTAGTTGAGACGGTTATCGAAGCGGCGGAACAATCCACCCCATCGGAGGTTGATACAGCCCGACTCAAGGGTAGACTTCTTGATGCTGTCAGCGAACTCAATCACTTCTTGCACAATATGATCGGGCACAGCATCCTTCAGAGGAATAGGTGCGAGGAGTTCAATGGCCTTACGCGCCACAATATCGTATGCTGGATTTATAGCTCCATAGCACCAATTTGTTGCGTAATCAACGAATGTCTCTGGTGTTAATGTGTAATTCCCCTGGATGCGCCCCCAACCTTGAAGGGCGCTAGCAATATTTTGCCAAGCAGCTGAAATTTGAGCGCCCAGCCTTGGATCACGAAAGCAGACATAATTGAAACAATTCATCTGATTCAGCGCAGGAATTAGACGTTTGGCATATGCGTCATATGGGGCCATTGTTTCGCGAATTGAGAGCTCAGCGGCCTCTGGGTTAGCGTTCTTTGCGGCGTCGAACGCCTTGTGCGTGAGTTCAGCAGCATATGTTGAAGTAGACAGGCCAACGTTGATGCCCGGGGACCAAAGAGGGTTGGTGAAGCCACACGCATCACCAATAGAAATCCAACCTGGACCAGAAACAACAGGAGACTGGTATGTTAAACTCTTGCGGATGTACCAAGTTGTACCTGGGCCGTAGTGATCTTCTATGAGCTCAAAGTTGCTCATAAACTCTTTAATAAGAGGGTATTTTTCCACAAAATAGTTGAACCTGCGCTCAGCTTCTCTGGTTCCGTATGCAGACATGTCTTCCGGGTACTCGACATCGTTGCGCACCGCAAAGCCAAGGCTTGTGATCCACCGGTAATTGAGTCCGAACATCTTGGCTAGCTCATCTGTGCTTGGAATTTGGTCGGCTGGGACACCAGACTCAGCGCAGTCGAGTAAGTAAGTCATCATGTCCATCAAATTGGCCGTTGGGCTGCCTTCCCATGAGAGCAAACGGATGACCCAGATCCAGCCTTCAGGAAAACAAATGTGATTGGTATTGCATGATTCATAATGCGGAAAGGGCATTTTACTTGTATCCTTTGGATTAGTAAAATATCCCCAGAAGGCGTCATAATTCCATCCTTCAAATCGGTGAATGGGAGCATTTTTAGAGGCTACTCGACGAAAGCGACCTGTTGCATCAACCAAGATCGAGGATTGAATTGAAGTCTCCGGCGTATCATTAGATTTGCCCTTGGCAATCCCGATATTGCACTTATTGAGACCACCATCGACTGTGGTACCGTCAAAATTAACTTCAGTTCCATGATACACATTTACACCGCTTCGTTGCGCAAGTAGTGTAAATAACAGCTCACTGGTTGGTCGCTCAATTTGGAAACCGCTTAGAAGGGTGCCGGCTGTGCCGTTGATGACAAAGTCTTTGAATTTTCCTTGGTTCTCTCGATCAAGAAAGTAGAAGCACAGTCCATCCTTGAGGCCAAAGATGCGCAAGAGATACTCAGCCGTGAGGCCATACATCTTGCACCACATGGAAAAGACAGGAAGAGTGCTTTCGCCAATTTTATATCCAGGTTTCCTGTTTTTTTCGACAAGTAAAATCTTGAGGTTGCCTGGCTTGTGCTTGGCGGAGTGGATAGCGTATATGAGGCCATGAATACCGCCACCAGCAATGACAACGTCAGACTCTTTGGGAAGACTTGAGCCTGCTACATTGTTGGAATTGAGAATCTGTGAATCACTCAGATTATTTGCTGCGGCCCTTTCAGCAAATGTATGCTTTGGGACGGGCGCTGTGGCGGCCATGACAACGATGATGATGCAAAATGCTTAATACTAAAGCGTAGGGTTAGGTTAAGGCAGTTTACGGTAACTAACATGACTTTTATATCTTTGATTATGTAGCAGATGATCTTTTGGCAAAACAGGGTATAGTGAAACCCAGTCTCTAACTTTCACAGCTGCCTCATGTTTGCTATCATGCTCTAGCGTTGTATAGGGAATCTGGTAACGCAATGGAGTTAGCAAGTTTCTGACCGCAGTTTTGTGACCGTAGTTTTCTGACCGCAGTTTTCGGACCTGCGGGTTCCGTCATATCGTCAAGCCAAACAGGGAAAATATTAGGCCAGTCGCAATTGTAGCATTTACTATGACAAAATCAGCTAATTATAATGGATCTAGCTCTTACGGCAGACCAGATTATAACATGACTGCATTTTTTCTGATAGCTCTTACGTTCCATTATACCGTAGCGCCAACAGGGCAAAAGATTAACCAATAATGGCAATTGTAGCAATTATTGCAACATAACCAGCTGCTTGTAAAGGATGTAACTGTTACGAAGGACTAGGTTGTAACGACTATATTTTTTTCCTACTGTAAATTTTTTTAACTGCAAGTAGGACTGTATGTAACGTTGTTAACCTATGATTACAACTAACGTTTTAGTTGTGTAGTTACTTAGGTAGTGATATTTCTTGAATAAAACTAAATACAAAATAATTGGGGTATTGCGTATATTAATTTGATAAGTTATACTCTATATTTTTTTTAAAAAATATTTATTAAGTGATTTAGTAGTATTGTATAAAAGTAGTTTTTCCCAGACAAAATACTATGCTCGAGGCCAGATACACGCGGAGTACCAAGTGACTGCATGCTCAAGTAACAACTCCGTGCCATCATCCACTCTAATGGCTTTATCCAAGATCATGGCGCAATGCAGTGAATGCTCATGGGACATCAAGTCGGGTATTGGTCGCCCATCATTATAGCTCAAATGCAGAATTTCCCACGAATACAGGCAGTGTTTGTAGTGAAACTTGCGCTCTGTCCAGACCTCAGTGTACATTTTGAGGATGTTAGCATCATCTGGTATCGGCTTTGTCAGATTGGCGTCCGCCCACCACCGTATCGGTCCATCCTTTCTCATCATGGTAGCGTGCTTTTCATCCAGTTCAGGATCATAGCACTCGGGCGGCTGCCAACTGAAATTCATGTAGTCGAAGACGCAGCCACGGGCAATTGCCTCAGTTGAATTGAATCCACATCTCCCAGATTGCCCTGGATCAAAGCCAGTAACTGTGGCAGGATGCCGTTTTGAAAGTTTAACGGATTGTATTATAACCGTTATGCCGAGAGCGAGGATGATCAGTCCCCCGATAAATGGTATCCTCAGACGGCTAGAGCGATACCATGGAGTTGCCTCTTTCCATAGCGTGACAGAATCACCATCTCTCGATTCTTCGTCAATCGAGTTCAAAAGCCGCTCCCCAGATGGGTCTGGTTTTTTCTCAGCCTCTCTGCCCATGTTAAAATGTTCTGATTGATGTAAAGCTGACGGCAGACGTAGCAGGATAAGTATGTGCTTTGGAAAAATGAAAATCTGATGTAGGTGAGCGAGGCTACAATAGCGGAACGAGAAGGGGTAATATATCACACTTCTAGGCTGCATACAAGGACGTGACTAGTCTCGCTTGTAACTACGTATACTTGTATTTCATCATCAGGTGAATGCTGCTTCTGCCTTGCAACAATTCTCCATTTTTGTGTAATGCTGCATACAGAGGTCTATGTCTAGGTCCATGCTGACAGTAACACAAAGCATTCTGCAAGATAAGTTATTTTCTCCTTTATAAAAAAAAAGCTGTGTTATTATAATTTCTTTTATAAATACCCTCTAAGTATAATTATATACTATGTATTATATTTATTAAAGTTATTTAAATTATTTTTATGATTTATTGATAAAACATTGTATAAAAATTTTAAAACTCAATTATATTAATTTATTTTATACATAATTTAATTTCAAAATTGATTTATATATTAAACTATTTTTTTATAATATTAAATTTTTAAAAACGTTATATATATATATATATATAATATTTTAGAAATTTTAAAGTATTTATTAAAAATTATAATTAATTATAAAAACCTTTATTAAAACTTATATTAATAAATAATTTTACTTAAGTATACTATGTTAAAAAAAAAGATATAATTAAAGTAGCAAAAGGTATTGGCAGTAATAGTGTTAACAGCAACAGTGTTGTTATTGATGCCGGCGCAGGGTGCCCAGGGTGCAAACTAAACACATAAGACAGCACCAAGCCGCCAAGCTTTACTAACTAAGCGCTTTGCAAAATAACTGGGACTTGAGAAAGTACACAGTACGTACATTTTAAGTGCAATAAATGCCTCGCGTTACTGCTTTTGTTATGTTTATGTAAGTACATACTCAATTTGCAGTCCCTGTTTTTTTTTTTCCTTTTGTAATCCGCTTGCTAATAGTAGTAACTCTTTACCGCCTCGTTTGCCAGGGATAGCAGCCAATCAGAGTAAAATAAGCAGATACTTAAATTGGCTGATTGCTTACTTACGCTTAACATTTGTGGAAAGTCGCCGTAGATCCACCGTCTTACTGCCGATTCTCGAGGTGCATGTTGTCCTATACTCTCACTATCCTAGTCATTTACAATTTTTTTGGACCATAAGCCGATAATTAGTCTCTTCTGAACCTCGTTGTCTTACGTTTAGTTGCACTCTCCGCAGCATAGTCGTAAACATGGATAAGGGTCAAAAAGACCGATCCTAGTTTAACTAAAGGGATACGATTTAGCTAACAAAAGTAGTGGTATAGTTTTAGTTTTAGTGATAAAGATAGGGGTAATGGTTCGAGGAATACAACTAGAGATTTGGCATTATCAATAAAGTCACCCGTAATCTTTTGCACGAGCATACAAGCTAATTTGAACACTTCCTGATTTCCGCCTTATCAACAGCCTTCAGTTAATTTCGACTCTCTAAACAACGCAAAATGGGTGCCTCTCACTATACAACTGAGGAGAAAGAAGCAGCGTCTGTCGAGATTCCATTCGACATGCCGGTTATCGACTTCGCCGGTTTGTGTGGATCTCCAGAGGAGCGTGCCAAATGGCTGGACGAGCTGGATAGAGGTTTTCAAACTTATGGGTTCGTCTACTTGTCGAACTCGAGTATTCCAGAAGAAATGGTAGAGGAGGCATTTGAATGGGTAAGTAACGGCAAGCTAGTTTGAGCTCAATGGCAGCTAAATGTGTAACAGTCAAAACGTCTCTTTGCTCTTCCATTGGAAGTGAAGATGAAAGCCAAACATCCAGCATATGAAACACCTTACAGCCATCGTGGCTATGCTCCTCAAGGTGTTGGACATACTGTCCAGCTGCTCTTTGACCCTGATGAAATTGAAAAGACAAAGATTACAGCTCCAGAGATTAAGGAGACCTTCGAGCTGGGTAATAGTATGCCGGATAGTGAGTTGGTGGCCAATAACTGGATTCCAGAGGCCGATCTACCTGGCTTCCGCGCATTTCACGAACGCTGGTTCGTTGCCTGCACGGAGCTCTCGCAGAAGCTGCAACGATGCCTGGGTGAGGCGCTGAAGCTTGAAGATCCAGACTTGCTCTGCAAGCAAGAGTCCAAATATGACGCCCATATTAGCCTCATGCACTACCCTGAAATGGCCATTGAACCACTCCATTCTGGGACTAAGCACCGGCTAAACGAACACTCAGACTATGGCAGCCTGACGATGCTATTTCAAGGGGAGGTGGGAGGGCTCGAGGTACACGATGGTGAAGCTTATAGGCCCATCGTCCCCAAGCGCGGGACCATCATCCTCAATGTTGGAGATATGCTCGAGCGCCAGACAAACGGCCGCTGGAAGAGCTCTTTGCATCGCGTTGTTGCACCTCGTGAGATCATGATGCGGGATGACTTCGAGCTCAGTGGTACTGTGGTCGATAGATATGCCATCGTCTATTTTTGCCAGCCAAATGCGGATGTCGTCATAGATACTTTGCCGGGATACGAAGTGCCGGGCAAGTGGAAGCCGAATATGATTGGAGATTGGAACGAGAAAATGACAAGTCTTCAGTGGCTGCATAAAAGGTACACAGCAGAGTTTTACTAGATGGAGATATGGATGAAGATAGGGATGATACACTGAGGGTTCTTGGATGCTCCTATTCACAATTTTTGACTGAGTCTCAGGCTATAGTTGGGCTCGTAAAAACGCTGATGAGATTGCTTAAGATGATGTTAGTAGTCAGATAACCGTATGTTAAACCTCTTTTTACTATGTACAGTATCTTCATGAAAGTGCACACTATTAGTACTGAGTAGTGATTTACATATCTAAAAACATCACAATACTGCGTTGTAAAAGCCAAGTATTTTTACCCTTGTGATGTGCTAATAACGCTGTGATATTGCGGCCCGATCAACTATGTTTACCACGGACTGTGATTCTCAACCCGAACTTCTATGTATGGTTAGACAAAGAGATATGGCGCAATCTATGCGTCTGATTGAGTGGAGTCAGTAAAACTCATCTCCGGCACTTGAATTAGTTTACCGATATAACTCTGCCGGCCACTTAGTTGTAAGACGATTGAACTAGCGGTAAGATTATGTTCTATGAGGCAAACCGGAGGTTCCGAGTTCAGAGGATGCTACGTGTACAATCTATTCCACACCCAAGTTAGTACACATGAAATAAACTACGCTAGCGAGATGCGTAGTATCCCGGCACCTTTAGAAGAAATGATGGGATCTCGCTTGTACGAATGCGTAAACGCTAATGCTTACACGACAAAGAGACACTACAGCAGTATCTTACTCTTACTGGGATCTAAGCGCCTAAACTTATAATCCGGCTAAGCTATATCATCAAGTATGCTGTATGCATTTATCTATCCACAGTTAGACTATTGATATAAAACTAATACTTGTTGGGTGTGATACTACATCTCTGACATGAAGTTCCCAGCCATAAAATCCTGGTAAGGCATTTGATTGGTATACGAAAGCATAGGCACTTTTGTCAGACACTCATACGGAGTACTACCTACGTAAAGGGCTTGTCAATGACAAACTATGAGCACTCAAACTTAGAACTTACAGACCGCCACTGGAAGCATGGGTCACCTTGGTCGAGTGATCAGAATTTTCACAGACCGCCATTGGAATCATGCGTCACCTTGTTCGAGTGGTTTCAAGCTGCTTTGCAACTGCCTCTTAGTAGGGCCAACTGTAAGGCGAAGACTTACCGTACAGTCTTGGCACTCAACGCCCCACTAAACGTTATACCAATAGGTAATTGTATCTTAGAAAAGAAAAGATATACTTACCATGTCGAGTATGAGAGCTCTATATAAACCGTGTGTAGTTCTCCAACACTCCTGTCAACCCATATCCTATTATCATATCAGTTTAATAGCCAATCCTGAATACTTTTCACAAGTAAACCACTTTTTACCAATAAGACAACATCATGAAGTTCAACTCCGCTGCTATTGTAGCCATCTTGGCCTACACCACCTTAGCTCTGCCAACGCCATCCCCAGGCAAAACCGATGTTGGCAAAGTTGATCTTGAGAGCCGAAATGGCAAGATGGATGTCGGCAAGGTTGACCTTGAACGACGAAACGGCAAGATGGATGTTGGCAAGGTTGATCTTGAACGTCGAAACGGCAAGATGGATGTCGGCAAAGTTGATCTTGAGCGTCGAAACGGCAAGATGGATGTCGGCAAGGTTGACCTTGAACGACGAAACGGCAAGATGGATGTCGGCAAGGTTGACCTTGAACGACGAAACGGCAAGATGGATGTCGGCAAGGTTGACCTTGAACGTCGAAACGGCAAGATGGATGTTGGCAAGGTTGATCTTGAACGTCGAAATGGTAAGATGGATGTTGGCAAGGTTGATCTTGAACGACGAAACGGCAAGATGGATGTCGGCAAGGTTGACCTTGAACGTCGAAACGGCAAGATGGATGTTGGCAAGGTTGACCTTGAACGTCGAAATGGTAAGATGGATGTTGGTAAGGTTGATCTTGAGCGTCGAAACGGCAAGACAGACGTCAGCAATGTCGAAGACAAATATTAAGAAAGCCCATAGTTTGCAATATACTTAAAGCCTCTCCTATAATAAACTATAAACCTACTGTACTAAGTGAACGCTGTAAGTTGTATCAACTGCACACGACTTCTTTGTGATTGGTTAGTTTATCCGAGGATAACCTGAAGTCTGCCTACCCTGTAGGCCTATTGTCGAGACCATAAAGATTGGGTCGTAACACTATAGTGAAAATAGAAATACTGTTTAAATATCCCCTAGGCTATACACTTTTTATTTATATATATTTAAATAAGTGAATATAACTTTAGCTTAACCTAGCTTATATACTAGTTAATATATAATTTTATAAATAAAAATTAGTTAAAACCTAAATATTATTTATAATCTATTTATTTTTTATTTTGGAATTCCAGACCTAAAAGAACTGCTGACAAATTTGGCAAGCGCGGAGGTGGCCGCCTCTGATCTAAGAAAGGCTTTGGAGAAAACAGATCATTCGCGGGCTGACATAGCCGCTTATATAACCCAGCTCAGTTTAAAATTGCAAAACCCAACTAAGGCTTAGAAAAGGAGAAGACCAAATCGAATAATCTGGATCACGAGTTGCTTGACGCCACGCACATGGTCGCGAAGAGAATATAGCTTGTAATAAAGCGCATGCAAGGATGATTTACTCCTACGAGCATTTGGCCTTTTTTTGTAACATTATTTAACCATCTTGCGAGCGATTCGACAATGTTGAAAGGGCTTTCTTGCTCTTTACTAGACTATTCTGCAGGGGTTTGAAGCATCCAAACCATCTCCTTAACATTTCAAAGGTGAAGAGTCGCTCCTACCTCAATGTGATCTCTACACTGTCTATACATCTATTTCCACCATGTCACGCACCTCATTCAGCGACATTCCGCTTCCCCTAGCCCGCATCATTTGTGAGCACCTTGCGACGTCTCATAGGCCAAGCCTATACGCATTTGCACTAGTTAACAAGTCGTGCTACAATGCTGCATTTGCGCTGCTCTTCCGCCGCATTGTTCTACGGGTGACCGAGGGAAGTCGCCCGGAGAGGTCTGTTCAACAGCTTTGCCAGGTTCTTGAGCGAACAAATGGTTTTCGGTTCGTCCATCATGTCGTTTTGGGCGGATTTGGCCGCTGGGAGGAAGAACACGACCAGCTAGTGGAGAATGATATGCAGAGTGACGCTTGCAGATACCCATTTGGGAATACGGCAAATGAAGACGAGGAGGATGTAGAGCCAATCAACATTGCAAGAGTTGAGGCTCAATGGCAAAGAAGCTGGTATGTGGATGATGACGTGTGGGATATGCTCGCAGACTTTATCCCTGATTTACCTGGCCTCTCGGATGTGATTTTCGACTGCTCAACTCAATATCTGCCCCGTCTACTCCGTGTTTTACACCAACACCGTCCTCAGTGCAGACTACATCTGGGCTCCTTCGATATATACCGTCCCGACGGGAGCTTAACGCCCGCTGAGCAAGTCGAACTCATCACATCGCCACTCCTGCACACAATCTACCTTCGAGATCGTTCACAGGAGGGTTATGGGCCGGATGGCACTCCAACATACGGCGCGGACGCCGTGCGACGTATTATTGCCGGGCTGGCGCCGAATTTGAAGAAAGTAGCTGTACTAAATACACATGCGGGCTGGTCACCAGCACTCGCGGAGGCTCTGGTACAGGAGCGACCGGCATGGCTGGGTTTCGCACTCCCAGATAACGAGATAACCAAGCGAACCAAGGGCTCACTAGATTACCTGCAACTCGTCAGCTTTGAGCCTCTCAACGATATTCGTGAGTGGATGTCGTGTATCAACGATTCTACATTGCGCGTGTTAAAACTTGAGCGACTCGTTAGCGAAAATGCCCTTAGATATCTTGCCACAGAATGTCGCTTTCCCAAGTTGGAAACCTTGGTCCTGAACATGGTGACCACTAACGTATCGTCTCCTCTGCTTAGAAGCCTATGGAGTGCTATGGGCAACTTCCTTCTCACTTTACCTCCTTTACTTGCATTAGGTCTTCCAGGAACGACGAACAGTACGCTTTTACGGCCAGTTTTTGAGCACCATGGCGCGTCGCTGCGGACGCTGTGGCTTTCTGGCGAGACGGCTTCGCCCAAACTCATCAAGCACCTAGTGCAGAGTTGTCCCTCTATTTGCAAGCTGGGACTTCAAATACAGCGCTCCAAGGGCGATGCCACAGAAGTTACTACATATGCTACGCTCGGATCGCTACCAAAGCTGCAGGACTTGTCCCTGACCCTGGACTGCTCTGATACTCGCGTCTTGGCTGAGCAAGAAGGGGATGACGATCCCGATGCCAAGTTAGAATCGCCCAACGACCCATCATTTGACGAGTTTGACCAGCAGATGCTGTTGGCACAGCTTGACTATTCCCGCTATCAGCGTAGGGGCCACGTACGTGACGCATTCATCAACTGTGCCGTCGATGGAGACCTCGCACGTTCCATCTTCATTGCTGTTTCGTTAGGAAAAGACAAGGGTGCAAGTTCTCTGCTGCTAAGCAGACTGAAGATTAGGGTTACGGGAGGATGCAATTTTGGAACGAACCGAAGTGATTACATCCTGTCTATTGTCGTCAACGAGCTATCACGTTCATGGATCGTTGAACGCAGCCCCAGAGAAGTTAGAGATGGAGCACGGGAGTTAACAGTCTATGAGTGCACGAGCAAAACTCAGCAGCAACACCCATTGCGAAGTGACGACCTTGATCCAGAGGTATATAAAATTTTTCAAAGGATTTGGTCGACGAATGGTAGGGATGGTGAAAGCTGGCGAAAACGGTGGCATAGTTTACCCCTTTTGAGTGATACATCCTTGGGGGCGGGCCATGTAGAAAATAGTCATTGTTAATCTGATATCATTTTTAAAAACTGTCATTGGTGATTAGTCAGACTAAACCTCGGCTGCATACATAAACATAATACTTTCTGTAACGCCTTTATGAGTGGTTATCCAAGTGATAATTAAGTAATCAATATTTTGAACTTATTACAAGGATTAAGAAAATAGATAGGAAGGTACTTAGCTAGATAACGAGCTATGTTATGGCGTGGGTAAACCCTTGCTTAATAGATATTAAACACGGCAGCAATAATAAGCCTCCCCTCTGTAAAGACTTGGAACTGGCGTTAAAGGATATATGCAGCAGCGCTGTCGCAGCCAAGGTTACAGGAATGTCTATTAAACTGGAGCAGGAAATTCTTGAATATGTAATAAGCTGACTTAAGGAGCTTGACTGCCTGAATGGCCTGATTATTAATGAGCTTCTGACAGGAGGCAGGGCCAGCAGTGCTGTATACGCCAGCCGCTTTATTAATGGTGAACTGTGGCGAGGAATGTTGGAAATCGTTCGGCGCCGTCTCGGCCCTGGCCACGTCATGTGTTTCCGGAACGCTCATGTGAAGTCGCTCCTTGGCAGCAGGACCTGCCAAACTCGACTATCCCTTTGAAGCTGGCCGCCGTCAAACCTCTCCAGCGAATTCACAGTAAAAGTATGTCAACCACATTTTTACGCCGGTCACACCACTCGTTGACCGATATCTAGCGGTAACCAGTTTCAGGAGTTAGCTCCTTCTAATATATGCTGCACTTAAGAAAATTTACCTTCGTTACAGGGATGGGAAGGTGTACGCTGGGCTTTGTATGTAGGACTGAGATGCATAGCATACATCATTTGGAAATGGATTAACGAGGGCAATTGCCGGCTCTATTTTGGCATTTTGGTAGGAGTGAAGGACAGAAAAGAGAACTAGAAGCTGAATCAGTTGACTAGTTTCGGTACACACCGCTATTAATTCGTATTCGCGAATGGACCGGGCCCTTTGCGAATCACACCTATCCGCCACTGGCCGTGAACATATACGTTATATATATTTAATGCCACAGAGCATCGTTCGGCTTGATGCCCTTCTCCTTACAGTGATCGTAATACAGCTTAGCAAAGCTAAATATATCCAGTGTGAACTTCAAGCTATCATCATCGTTGAGGAACTCAATGCTACCAGTAATGGTAAACACAATGTCGGTGCTGTCCTCGACGGACAGGGTATGAATAACGCCAGGATTTTCGCATACCCAATCTCCTGGCCGAGCAACCCAGTCGTATCTACAAGTAGACCGATTAGCAAAGTCGCAATATACAAGAATTGGGATCAACATACTCCTTATAGCCCCATTCTCCTGACATGGTGATAGCAGTAACGGTTCCACGGTGTCGGTGCTTGCCCAAGCTCGCAGCCACCTTTGATCGTAGCCCGACAACGAAGGTACCGGTCCTGTTCTCCATACGCATGGGCTTCAACTCGATGGGGCCGATCCATGGGAACCACAGAGTATCGTTCTTCTCGTTGATATAGACATCAGGGGCACTGTATTTGTCGACAAATGCGATCTCGGAGCGCTCGTGCTCGTTCAAGGCGGATCCATCAGCCTTGGGTCGCTCCGGGAGCTTAGAGACAGGTTCAGGAACGAGATCCAGGGTGGTATTAGAGTGAGCCATTATAGATATGTTCGTTATGTTGTGCAGGAGGAGTGAAGGTGAGTTGGACTGAATTGTGAGAAGGTTTAAGTCGAGGGGGCACCGGCACCATTGGTGCGCCCCTACCTTTGGCGACTGAATTGTGAGATAGTTGCCAAGCGTGCCACGGCCCGTTCCTCACGGATGGGGCTGTGCGATTCAAAGACCCTGAGACAAATAATGGCGGGGCCGAAGAGCGGGGGATGACTATTGATGTCAGGCGATTGGTTGAATATGCTGGCGTCGAAACGCGTTGGCCGCGGTGTATGTTCTTAGCCTCGGCCAGGCCGCCATTTTGAGTCTTAGACTGACCTGACGTTCCGGGGGGTAGCTGTGAATCCGCCCGCCCACATACAAAATTCTACCCTAAACTGCTAAATCACATTACTTTCAAAAGCCCGTATATATTGTATTAAATAGCGAAGCACCTTAAAGAGAGACATATATTTGGTGTATGCTATTTTTTTATAGCCTCTGGGGGATAACTTTGGTAATGTTATCTACCGATGGTTAAAGATAAATTTCATAATGTAACGTACGAAGTTCGGGCTATGTATTAACATTGAGTTAATGTAATTTTTCTTTGGCTGTATGTCTGGTAGTTTTTGCGCCCTACATGAGACAACTTACTCCTAATTGGTTAGGTAACAAAACCTATGCTAAATTCATCTTACTTATACTATTGGTTCCAGGATAATAAAAGTTCCCTTTGCTATTGAAATTAAATTAGTAAAATTTATTCTTATGCTGTTGGTTCCAGGATATGTAACAAAAGTTCCTTTTGTTATTGAAATTAAATTACTAACATTTATTTTTATGCTGTTGGTTCTTAAATCGCTCAAATTACCCTTCATGATGAGTAACTAATGTTAACCTCTACATATTTTGTTTCATCCTCTCGCGTTAGGTTCGTTATCTCGTTTGCTCGTCCTTTTTCCAATTGAATTAATGCTACCCTGTGGTTCTCGACGGACTGAGTGAACTCCAATAAGCTTAACTCTGACTTGGGGGTTGTTTCCGTGTTATTGATTTGATCTTGCGTGGCCAAGATGGAGTCCAGACAGACAGAACTTTGGGTCGTGCTGTTTGTTACCTTTGCCGCTGCCGTAATCATCACAATACTTCGTCTGCTGAGTCGAAGACTCAAGAGGGTTCCACTCTCGTGGGATGATTACTTTGCACTCTGCGGGTTTGTAAGTCACTGCTGTTACCGTATCTCATTTTGCAATTGCTAATTCTTCCAGGGCGTTTCGATTGGTTGGATAATCATTATTCCCTACTGTAGGTTTTTCACGTCGACCAACACCGATCAAGTCGCTGACCCAATTCGTAAGGGGTCAACCACGGCCTCGGACTCCACATCGCCGATATAGTTGCTACCAAGGACGTAACGTTGGAAGATGCGTTATTCGAAGGAGAACTACTGCTCTTCATCGCCGAGCTTTTCTACGCCTTCGGTCTGTTCCTCGCCAAAGTTTCCATCTTGAGTCTGTACTGGCGCATGTTCAGCGTCACGAATATCAGACTTCCGATTCAAATTCTATTTGCATGTTCTTTAGTTTGGATTATCTTCCGAGTACGTACCCTCATACTCAACTTGGGAGTCAGGTCTAATTATTGCTAGACTTTTATGGGTATCTTTCACTGCGTTCCTGTCGAGGCATTCTGGGATTCCAATGCCGCCGGGTACTGTGCCATTGAGGACAAGAAGTTCTTCTTTGGTACTACTCTGGTCCACGCTGTCATCGACATTGCTATTTTGATCTTGCCTATGTGGCAGATTTCACAGCTACAGCTGCCCATGCTGCAAAAGGGTGGCATTATGGTCATGTTTACTTTTGGCTTTTTGTGAGAGATGTTACGATACTGCTTATTGATGTAGTTGCTAAAAATTGTAGCATTTGTGCGGCCGCTATCAGGTTGATTGTGGCCGCTAGAGTGTTCGACGGTACATCGCCCGATCTGACGTGGAACATCTGCGATATTGTGATTTGGGCAACAGTGGAGGTCAACCTGATCAATGTTTCTGGTATGTGTCGATCTCATTCCTCGCTATAGTCAATGAGGATGGCTAACTCTCTATAGCTTCGCTTCCTACGATTCGACCGGCCTGCATGTACATCTTTACCTGCACACACCCACGAACACGGACCGAAGCCAGCTTAGGCAGTTACCCAAACACCTACGGTCGAAGCCAAACCAAGCGGTCAATCCGGCTCGACCCCATCGGTAAGTCATCCCTCAACGATGAATCCAGCTCGACACACCATCTCGCCGACTTAGACGACGGCGGTGGTCGCTGCTCAGTATCCGACTTTGAAAGTCACGCATTCCATCGTCTGCGACCGGCCGGCAACAAGTATACTTCGACTGTTACATGACAAAGTGCCGGTGGAGGCTATTCTCAATCAAACCCGAATGGCATTCTCGTTAAAAATGAGACAATAGTGCACGTTTCCAAACAGTGATCAACCGAATTGAAAGCAGGCGTAAACTAATATTAAAAGATAACATTTGTATACTTTGTAAAATAAAGTAATTGATAGAAGTGTATATTTATATATTAATAAACTATAGTAAAGTTTATTAAAGATTTATATATTTTTATAAAATAGTAAAAAGTAAATATAATAAACTGTTTATTAATTAATTAATATAAAGGAAATTTTTATTTTTTAATTTATTAGTTATTAAAGTTAAATAATTTATTAACTCTTTATAATTATTTATATAATTAATAAAAATTAAATTTTAAATATTAAGTTAAACTTAAATAATTTTACTATAAATATAATATTTAAATTTATATTTAAACAATTTTATTATTAATTAATAAAAAAAGATTAAAATTTAATTTAATTACTATATTAATAATTAATTATTTAAGCTATTTAAGTAAATACAAAAATATAAATTTATATATTTAGTTATATATTTTAAAATTAATACTAATTTTTATTAACTTAATATTAATTAATATATTAGTTTTATAATTATTTAAAAGCACTTATTATATAAGCTTATTATTATCACTATAAAAACCAAGTTATAATAACTCTATTAAAGTAATTGAAAAATAAATATATTTTATTATAAAAGATTATAAATAATATATAATTAATTATTGTAAACCTAATCTATACTAAAGTAAATGTTAATCTAAGGAGGCCAAGCAGCAGGACGAATCATCCCTGGCTCATCTTAAGGTTAACGCAAGGAAGTTCGACGAATTGTATCAGAAGTACCTCAACAAGATTAAAACCAAGGATATCATATACAAAATGCGTGACGCTTTTGCTAATATAATGGATGCGATTCAATACGAAGATAGACTGGTCATGGGGTACAACAACTGTCAGCCCCGTCGGCTACAGCTTCAGGCGGGTCAAAGCGGTGTACGTAATAGTAAGCTTCAACTCACGGATTCAGCAACCGGTCTACCCGACGATACAGAACTCCAGTTAAATAGTACCTTCCTTATCAAGGCTGAGTCAGATCTCAAGAAGCGTACCTTTAAAACTTTATATAAGGCAGCACAGAACTTCAATTATATCGTTCTAGCTCCTACCAGTGGGTTTCATTACTTAGAACCTTTACAATCGTTTTCCAGCTTAAATGCCACTGTACTCAAAACTGGTGTCGAGACTTACTTACAAGTAGAAGACATCAGCACCTTTAAGGCAAACCGCAGCTCTTCCCAGAACACGCAATCCACCATTAAACTCCGGCTGACGCACAAGGACGTCCCAGAATGGTTCCGCAATGTCCTCAGAGAACTGGCCCAGGGCAGGCATCCTGCTAAACCTTCACGTCGATTAACCGTAACTCTCTCTGCCTCAGAGCCACCTGAAGATTTTAATAAAAGCTACTGGGATATTCATCTAAAAACCTTGAGATCTACCTCCCTGGCGCAGTACAAAAGAGTCACACACCTGCTAGCACAGAACATCACAGTACAACCACACATCACCACAGCGATCCGAGCACGGGTATCATCGGCATGTAAATACATACCCCGGGTCTCATATCATACAAAGATGGGTCCAAAAAAGCTGTTATCCACGACTTATAATTACCACCGGCCAGGACGGCATTCGCGTTTGACTACGCTACGGAAAGTAAGGATCAGGAGCCATTTAACGTTATTACAAGTCCCTATAATTTCAATAAACATATGAAATTTGCATAAGTAACAGCCCTTAATTAAGTATTTATACAATTTCCTATATATTTAAAACCAAATCAATATATTTTCTCTATACACATAGATAGCTAGAATCAACTGCTCCTTTTATTTCCGTAGCTATACCAATTGGTCCTAGTACTTTATGTTACGTTCCATTATACTATAGCGCCAACAGGGCAAAAGATTAAGCCAATAATCGCAACAGTAGCAATTATTGTAACGGAACCAGCTGCTTATAAGCGATCTAACTGTTACGGCGGACCAGATCGTATAACAACAGTCCTTGACGCTTAGTTTAACATAGTGGATTTTAGCGTAAGTTATATTTCGCAGCCTCAGCAGGGTAGTGATGCGCAGCTGGGTTTGTTTCTCTCCGAAATAGGAAGTTGTATGATAGTAAGGCTTAAACTACATCCGGTAGACTCTACCATAGATTGGTTGGTAGGTATAACCCAAACCTATTTTAACTAAGTCCCTGCGACAAGGGAAAGGCTGGAACTATAAGTTTGTATTTCATTAAACTATACTCTTTATAGAATGTATACCAAGATATATTACTTACTAGGCCGTTATTTCTTATTGTACAGGTAGATCTATTAAGAGGTAAAAATATATATAAAGCTCTTAGGCAGCCCGTAATGCTTTTCAAACCAGATCAATTCCACTAATACTTAACAAAGGCACATTAATTCCCACACGTCAAAAATTCTCAAAATGAAATCGGTTTTTATCATCTTAGCAATGGCGTCTGCTGGTCTCGGTGCCACAACTCCCGCCCATAATGCCGGTTTGGCTCGCGCTGCTATCCCAAGTATAGAAAACGTTTATTAATATACGTGCAGGTAGGTTGACACACGAAACCATTCGGGACTTCATATTAACATTATACTAAAAACTGCAAATGTAATGCAAGTGGCTCCCGCAAGGGCTTCTCAGGCGACAGCGGTTGCATGCAAATCAATAGTTCAATTCGATCTCTAGGCCTCACTAGATCCGGTACCAAGCAGACCACATGCTCTGTCTTCACTAGCTCGGACTGCTCAGGAGGGGTTGCTCAAAGCGTTGGTGTTAGTTCCGGAACTTACGCTTGCACAGCCTTGAACCAGAACTCCAACAGCATTCGCTGCTACTATAATGCTTAATGTTGGCCGATCAATTTATATGCAATCATATCATTAAGTTGACATTTTGGGGTTGCGCTCGGATTATTCTCTTCTATGGTGGACTATAAGTACTAAAGCTAGATATAGTATTCACAGTAGTGAATTACTTTATTCTACACTTTCTAGACTTTCGATTTATATTAAAAAGTTTTATAAGTTAGTTAACAGTGCAAACCACTTTGCTAGTTAAATTAACTAAATTTTTCAAATATTTAACCCTATTTTACGTAAAAGACAATATAGTGCCCCAAGGGACCAAAGTTGCATTAAGTCAGTGTAATAAGGAAGTGTTGCATTTAGGCACACTGGCAATAGTACCATTTAGCCTTCGGAGATACAAGCGTCTTACCCCATGTAGAGGTCCATATTAGGTCTGAGGCAGATGAGGTGCTCCTCGCCCACGCGGGGCGGCTCAGCGTCCTCGATATATGCATGGATAGCTCCAGGAGGCTTTCTCACAACGGCGTTGAGCCGAAAGCCAAGGTCTTGCGCAATGGCTTTAATACAGCCAATGGATTGTCTATAACTGAAGGTTGAATCCTTTACCCAGAAGGGGCCTGGGCAGCATCAGCATCATCGTCGAGGCTCAGTCTTCACTTGGCATCATCTCGCCGCGTATGACTTGTGCGCCGATTGACGTGGATTGAGTTGATGGTTACCCCGGTCATGGATACGTCGAGTAATATGATTACATCAAGGCTTTTCGCACATGATATCCCATTGATCCTGAACTTCATTCTACTACAGTCCCCCCATATAATTTAGATCCTGTTCGCGATTCAACACTATTCCAGCTCATCGAGTTACGAATTGTCCGATCTCGAAGGGGTCTACAGGCCTTTCACCGCCTGTAGAGATCCGCGAGCTCCTGGCAGGCGCCCCAGATGCGTCGGCGGTTTGCCAATCCCATCCAAGGTGTGCCCACTCCGTACTGTGGGACCGTCATCCACTCGAACCAGAGATATAGTGCTTTGTAATCAAGCTCTTGCGACTGGGTGTCGTTGATGATATGTTGCAACTCTATGGCGGCCCATGGCATATCATTGTAAATGAACGCTTTCCAGAAGCCGTTATCGCGAGCCGCATTAAACACCGGCCAGGAGGCAGTGGAGAGTGCCAATATTGCCTCCGCTGGCAGGTATCGAGCAATTTGCCAGACGAGTTCGTTGGACAGCACATGGAAGGGATCCGATATTCTCTGCTGCTCATCCTCTAGCACGAACTGCCGTCGCACTGCCAGGTCGTTGCTGGCTATTTTACGTTGAATGAATGCCTTCACCACGGGGCTAAATACTGGCTGTGTAACCGTATACTGTTTCAATGCTCATCAGAACCTCGAATTGTCCATTAGAATCTCTTTGGACATACCTCCTCGCCAGGAATCCGCTCCCAAAACTGTTGGCCGCCGTTGATGTCGCCATGGCTTATGGCCAACGTGTTTTCGAATTGCTCCGACAACCCGATCATGATATTGTATAACGCGTCCTTGTCGATCTTGCAGCGGTTCTCGGAACCAGTGAGCGCCCTAGACACAATGTCGAAACAACATTCATGAATGGGGAACACGACCGGTACGTCTCCTTCCATTGCCCAGAAGCTATGTAAAACCTGCAAGTCAGTCATGACCTTCGACGATGCGACGGCGAGGAGGGGTCACGGGACCATGGGAAAGACGTCTCATTAGATGGCTGATTTGGATCTGATGAAGGCCCATTAGTACGGCCCAGACGCCACATACATCTATGGATTAAGGAAAACATCCATGGGCTTACCGCTCCCCGGAGAAACCTTGGCCCGTCCCTGGCTAGTTGTCAGGTGGACTCGGCTCCATGTCCAGGCGGGCTCCGAGAGCAGAACTTACATAGTCTTCATATTTGGCCGGGCCGGAAATAAATGCCCTGAATGTAGGTGAATCACTCGTCTGCAGACGTATTCGAGCCTAGAATTAACTCACCTGCCATTCCCCATCGCCGCAGGGTTGAAGCCGAGACACCGGACATTACTAAGCCAAGTTGTATCGCCGAGGAGCTCTGGATCATAGGCGTGATCGTCATCCGCGGTGTTCCAATAATCCCGCCCCTCCCCCTCTTCCTCGAACTCGTCGTCATCATCTGGACTCGCAAGTTCCTCGCCCAACTCACGCGCCCTTTTCTGTCTCTCAACCCGTGCTCGGCGCCTGGCCAGGAATTTCGGAGACGTTGATCCGACCTCGATGTTGGCGTTGTCCAGCGTAGCGCCGCAGATGGCACAGTAACAGTCAAACGATCCCATATTTTGAGTGGATGGATGGCAGATCTACCAACCTCGTGTCTAGTGAAAGAACTGGCCATTTGTGATTATCGTACTGGGAGAAGGTAGCATTTATATATCTTATGCTATAAAAGACTACCGGACCCATTTTAAATGGGGTCATTTTATGTTAGGTTGACACCAGGGAAATGTACTCTGTAATTGGTGCCAAAAACGACGAGAGACTGGGTGTGGCGTTGTATGTATGTATGTATGTATGTGTATTTTCCGTCCAGCGGCCACTACCTAGCTCAGGTCCCTGAGAGGGAGTGCAGTACGTGCTGGGCTACTGGGAGTCTACAGGCTACTTACCGATACAGGTTGTAGTGTGGCGGCCTACGTGACGCCCAAGTGAAATGAGAACCCCTCGCGTCATCTGCTCCTTGGTAAAATGTAGGCCAGGACTATGCGCGCCGATTCACTTTGCTAGGGACACTGCGTTAAGGGAGCCGTGTGGCTGATTTGTTCGTCAGCCACACCATTTCTACCACGCACGAACTACAACAAAGTTCTCATGCTACTTTACCTGCGAAACACAATGCTTTACGAAAGTCAAGTCAAATGGTCGAGCGGATTCTCGTTCGCACAAGGATCTGCAAAATCAGGACAGACTCACAGCTAAGCAGATCCGGTGAAAGCTCAACCCTAGGACGCTTTCGTCGACCAAATTACATTCCGCACATTGATTACAATCTTCACCGTTTCCCCTGCCACCAAAATTTGACACGGCTGAAGGTGTGAAAGTGACAGCCTGTCCACGAGAGCTCCGGCGTTTGCGTTTCGGCGGGCGCTCTAGCTCCTCGTCGTCAATTTCCCATGCTGAGCGCCGCCTCCGCACGCTAGCTTGCCTCCTGCGACTAGTTTGCCGCAGGCCTATCTGCTTGCCCGGCCCAAGGATGACCGTCTTGTTTATGATTGTGCCTATACTACATAGGTAGTCTTGGCAACTGCCGTCTGACCTTTCTGGCACTCACGACGTAGTTGATGAACTGCCATGCTCTCAGGGATGGGTTGTATGTTACTCCTCGGGCGTCTGCGAAGGCTTGTTGCGATCTTCGAGTCGAGAATTCGGCGGTATGGGTTGCGCGAATTAGACTCCCTCGGGTGCCACCGAGGGTGGACATCCCATCTCATCAAGAATATCCCTGCTTCCAATTTGATATAGATTGTATGACGGCAGAGGATCCCCATTTACCAAGAGATAGTACATCTTCGTTACAATCTCCGATCGGCTCGGGCTAAGGACACTACTCGGTATCGATTTTAAAGCACGGCGTTGTTCCTTGGCGAGCAGATCGAGTCCTGGCTGGGACATCACCATGCGAAATTCTCCCAGATATTCTGACCCAGGGCCAGAGTATGACCCTGCGGTCAGTACTTCGCCTTGCGAGCAGATATCGATGAAACCCCGCTCCTGATCGATCAGCATACCCTCAATCGCCTCAACAAGCCTGTATAAATGGCACGTTCCGTTCAGCAAATAGCTTTGGACATTGTTGTTGCTGGCCTCTATGCCGGAGGTCACCCTAATGCCGAAATTGTGATATTTCTTGATGAAGCAATGAGCCCACTGCGCACTTAATGGCAAATAGGTCTTATAAAGATACGCTAAAATGGCCCTTTGATCATTGAACTCTTCGCACAGGCGCACCCATGCCTTCTCGTGCTCTTCTTTGGTCTGTACAAAGGCCACGAACTTCCATAGCTCAAGGACACCACGGTAGCTATATGGCACAGGTGCGGTGCTGTCGTTCTGTAAGGCCGGGTTACTATATCTCCCTACTGCGGGTATAGCTTGCTTATCCCTCGAAGCAAACGCTAACTGCGTCTACTCACTTTCAGAGCTACCAACATCGCTATGGCCCACCTCCTCCGAGTCCTTCAACCTTCGTTTAGCATTGAGATGAACGTTGGAGTCGATATGGTGGATATTTGTTGTTGGCTATCGGGGAATTGGCTATCCAATGCTGCTTTCATCTACTGATCGTAGTCAGTGATAACAGCTAAATCCCATGTCTCTCGGTCAGTTGTCTAATCCCTTCTGCAAGGAATTGGAATCCTTCACGTCTCTCGTTATGGATCAAACCGAATGCGGCATTATAGACGGATTTCAGGCAAGTCCAAGGAGGAAGGGGAAGGGAGGGAGGAAGGGAGAAAAAAGGGGGGACGCGAGCTGGAAGAGCTCTCGAGCTCCTCTGGATCAGTGGCGCTGGGTATGATTGGTTAGTCAAGAGTGCAAGCCGAGACTCCTCGGGCTCAGCCCGTTACAGAGAGTCGGCAAGTCTAAAAGATGATATTGTTCTACACTGCCACTTACTGTTAATGGCGCATGAGTTGCATAAAAATGCTCGCAAGCTATGAATCACCAGGAGAAGATGCCTCATCATTATCGATCTTGCTGTATATAGTCTATGGTAGCGTCTAAAACCGTAGATGGAAGGTATTCCCACTCCTATGACCCTAAAGCTATAGCTAATACCAAAATAATTCCAGTACAAGCCCCGTAGCTTAATCTTCTTGACGGTAGAGCAAAATTCTTCTCGGCAGAGGTAGACGGCGAGGGTTCAGAAGGTATAGATGTTTTCGATGGTTTTGTTACAGAGCCAGATGAAACGCCAGTGTTCGAGATAATGAACGGTTCGCTATGAAAACTCCCAAAGACTCCAGCTCCAATAGTTCCATTCTGAATGATCGAGAAGTAGAAGGTGTCTCTCTTAGAGAGGTCAAATGCTGGGTTGCCGTTCTTTCCGCTTAGATCCACGGTCCATGGGAAGAGATGAACATATGGATCCAAATTTTCTGGAAAAAAGTTAGTAGTAGTACTAAAAAAACATATATAAGTCTGTTCTTGCGAACATACGTGCATCTGGGAAAGGCAAGGGAATCGGATTGCCTTCCTGTGTGAGCCATAGACCCACAGATTTCCATGTCGTCTCCCACTGTACTACTACGCTCGTCCCTTCATATAACGTAGTAGAGATACGACTCGAGCTGCCATTGGCTTTTGCAGGGTAGACGAAATAATTACCATTGTCCGCAGCAGCAGACGCAAACAGGTATGAAAACAAGATGATGAGAACTGGGAGGAGTCGAGCCATCGCAGAGGATTGGAGAGGTATTGAGCGCGGGCCGCAGTGAGCTTGTGACTAAAAGTGTCGCCTTTTATTCATGAAGCGCCAGTCAATGAAAACAATTCCACCCCATGGACTATGCAAAGCCGGAACATTTTCGATGCTGTCACTAGCCAGAGTTGGTTATTAATTTACGCCAAATGGCGGCAAGAAGGGGTCACTTTAATTAGAACGGTGTCTCGCGTGGGGCAGACTCGCACTACGTCTATACAATATTGCCGTTATACCCGGCGATGGCGCGTAACTATGAATTTACCAAGTGTCATCCAGTGGTCCTGTAGGGACTGCTCCAGGGGCTCGGCTCCACTGCCATATAATCACGTGGAAATATTTTGGTGGTGTCTTTATGAGCTTTTGCCTTTCTGTCAGGCTGGTTGATGCTAGAATGTGTGTCTGTGTGTCTGAGGCATAATCAGCGATGAAGTCGGCACTCACTTACTTATTACCTGGCTAGCAGCGTGCCAGATGATTGCGCGGGTACCTGCGTGAAGGTGCTGGTTCGTGCGTGGGGTTGATGCCTTAGATTCTTGCGGCTCTAGAAGCGTTCTGGATGGCGAAGCTGTATCCCACATCAGCGATTTGTCTCCGACGCAGCGATTAAACTTCACAAGAACACCTTCCGACAGTCTATGGATGACATTCCTCACCTGTCTATGCTGTCCACCCAACCTCCAAATTATTAGGTGGTCTTGATCTGTACTGTACAGTACAGCAGGGGTTGTCACTGTATATTTTGGGCGCCCGCGGCTAATGTTAATGACCTTATGCAACAGTTTTGCCGCCAGTATATATTCCTTATGTTGCAATATGCGTGTGAGTAAAAAAAGGGAGTCTGCAACTTGAGGTCTGCCGTCCTAGCTATATAAGCCTCTGCGGATCTTAATAGAGTGAGCCGCTAACTGCTAACCCTCTGTTTTATTCACTATGCTTAGTAAATTTAAGCCAGTGGTAATAATATCCCTACTGCGCTTAGGATACTGTAAGTTAGCAATTTGCTTTTGTGTTAGACTTTGGAGTTGCCAGCAGTTACGGAATGCCTTAAGTACCCCATTTAGCTGCTTAGCCTGCAGATATATCATTGCTCAAATTACTTCTGTTTAGGCTATATTGCTTATATTATAAGTTTTGTGCATTGCAGTAAGCTCCTACTGAAACGGTGCTTAGGCGCTGTAATAAAATATTTATGGACTGCCCTTTGCCCTATTGGCTATTATACTTAGTGCAGCAGTAGTATTTAATATCAAACAGGTTATAATATCATTTAAGCTTATATTACAAAAGTAATTAAATAAAATAACTATATTATTTAAATTAATTTCTGTTTATTTATTGATTATAATATTTTAATTTTTATTTTTAATATAAAATAAAAGTTTTTATTTTATTATTTTACGTTAAGTTGTATTTACAGCTTAATAAAAATGTAGCTTATATATATACTAAAGTAAAAAAATAAAAAGTATAGTTTAATATATATAAGGGACTTTATATAACTTAATAAATAATTAATATTTTAAAGTAAAAGAAATAAACTTATTATAATTTAACTTTTATAATTATAGTAATAAATTTATAAAATAAACATTTTTAAATTAAAGTTAGTTTACTTAATTAATTAAAAGTAAATTATTAAATTATTAAAATAATTTAATAATTTTATAATAAATTATTTAAAAAAAATAATTTAATATAAAATTATTTGAAAATTAAAATAATTTAACTTTATAAATTAAATATATAAATTTATATTTATATTATTTATTTAAATAACTTAAATAATTAACTATTAATATAATAATTAAATTAAATTAAATTATTATATTTATTAATTGTATAATATTTATAAAAAATATTTATAATTACTTTAATTATTTATTAATATAAACTTAAACTAAAGTATATTTTTTAAAAGTTTATATATTAAGAAATAAATATTTAATTTATTATATATTAGTAAATTTTATTTAAATAATTACTTTAAATTTATAAATTATAATAAATTAAATTTATAATAATTATAAA